ACATACATACATACATACATACATACATACATACAATTATTGATCGTTCACCTCCTATAGATTCCTATCTTACATTTGTGGTCCCCTTATTCTTCACTTATTTATATATACTATTCAGGGGTGGGTTCCTGCCAGTTCTAACCTCTTCTATAGAAGAGGTTCCACAAATCTACCATGTTGTTTAGAACCGGTTCCAGCTCCCTCCCCCTGCCCACCACTCACTGATTGGCTGGCTCACCAATTGCCCCGCCCACCTCTAAGTGTCCTATCTAAACCTTAAAGTCTTAAACCTGTCAAGTTTGAACATCCCTGGGGCTTTTTTCTAAAGGGTTAGGGGTGCGAGGGTCTTGTAACTTGATGGTTTTAAGACTTGCATGCTTCAAATGCCAGAGTTCCTGAGCCAACATTTTGGTTGCTAAGCAAGAGCGTTGTTAAGTGAGTTTCATCACATTTTACAAATTGGCCATGCCCACCCAGTCACATGACTGCCAGGCTACTCCCACTTGGTCACATGGCCGGCAAGCCACTCCCACAAAGCAGGCCACACCTACAGAAGAGGTTCTAAAAAATGTTGAAACCCACCACTGCTTCACGCCCAGCAGCCCCCGCGCCTTTCCCCGCACAGCCAATTTCGGGGGGGGGGGGGCTGTGCCCACCCTCACCTTCATGCCGAAAGTGAAGATGGTGATGAAGATCTTCAGCAGGAGAGCCAGCATCAGCTGCCAAGTGGCTACGTGGAGGCCCGGCCCAGCAGCCCGGTCGGGCAGGTCGTCCCCCTGGGTGCTGTTGGGGGCGCTGAGGTAGTCGCAGAGCTGGGAGGAGTCCAGGAGGCTGCAGTCGTTGAAGAGCTCCGAGATCAGCTCGCTGGTGCTCATGCGGGTGTACTTGTTGGGGAAAGCCAGCAGGGCGGTCAGCGCCGTCACCACCAGCACCTCCAGCACCGGGTAGCGGCCCAGCTTGGTGGTCTTACGCCGCCTGCACCAGGCGATGTTGCTGCGGATGAAGAAGGCCCCCCAGAGGCCCCCAAAGATGCCCAGCAGGATGAAAGGCGCCAGCTCCAGCAGGTGCCAGGGGCTGTGGAACTCCACGTAGAAGAGCACCAGGCGGCTGTTGCCGAAGGGGTTGATGGAGCGCAGGGTGAAGGCCGCCACCAGCGCGGCGAAGAAGGAGCGCCAGAGGGTCTTAAGCGGGAAGTAGTAGCTCACCTATATCGGGGGGAGGGAAGGGACCCGCTCAGCTGCCATCAGGGCAGTCCTCGGAACAAGGCACCGGGGAAGGGGGAGAAAGGTGTCTCCTTACCTCTTCCAGACTGAACAGGACACCTCCAATGGGAGCGCCAAAGGCCACCGATACGCCGGCGGCTGCAGCTGCCGACAACACCTGCACAGAGAGCAATCGTCACCAGGGCCCTGGGGCCAAAGGGGCCAACAGCAGCAGCCCCCAACTCTTCTCCGCCTCTCGAGCGAGATGCGGGCAGTTTGGGACTGTCCCTGTGTCCGTGCCAGGCCCAGGCCCAGGCCAAAGGGCACCCTCATCCCCACCCCAGAGCTTACTTCCCGGCGCTTGGCTTCGTTCTTCCGGTACTTGGTGAAGAGGTGGCAAAGGATGTTGCCGCAGCAGCAGGCGACGTGAACCAGGGGGCCCTCCTTGCCCAGGCTCAGGCCCGACGAGACGGCCAGCACCAGGGTAACCGTCTTGATGAGCAGCGTCCACTTGCCCAGGTAGCCTCGGATGATGAAGCCGCTGAGAATCGTTTTGATCTGGGAGGCAGAAAGGCCCCATTGTGGGAGGCAGCCTTGGGCCACTGGGGGGTTCTGGATCCCGTTCCAATCCGGTACGGTTGGAACGGGCCCGGCGTTGTCCACACGGATGCGCACATACGCACAGCACAAGCATGCGTCTTACCGCTTCCGTGAGCCTCCGCAACGCTCTAGCTACTTAGTGGAGCATCACGGAGGTGCTGTGCACGGAAGCGCCAAAGACTTAAATGACCAGTAAGGAGCTGGGGCGGGCAGACGGGCTTCCGGAGCAACGTACCGGAACGGTATCCGGTGCTCCGGGCACGCTCTGGTACACCCGTACCGGGGTGTACCACCTGCAACCCACCACTGCCTTGGGCCCATCAGCTCCCTTGGCCGGCCCCATCAGGAGCCCTTGGTAGCGCCAGCCAGCCTTGCGAGGCAGGGATGGGCCTCATGGGAAGTGGGGGCAGGGCCCCCCCAGAGCGCCCCAGCATCAGACTCACCTCTGGGATCCCTGAGCCGCAGGCGTACGGCGCAAAGCCCCGGACAAGCGAGACGGCCAGGAAGGAGAAGAGCAGCGCCCAGAGGACGTAGAGGAAGTAATTCAGGACGTAGCCCAGGGCTCCCTGTCAGGGCGAGAAGCGGGAGGACAGCCGTGAGGACCGCTGGACCGCCCTGGGGGGCTGGCTCACTACTGTCTGGAAAGGTTCCCCCCCCCCACCGGACTCCAGTACGCACCCCCTCCTCTCTGCCGGTCAGCAGCTGCGCCCAGGTCCTCCACTCGGGGCACTTGTCCCTGTCCTGGAAGGTGGTCTGGGGTGAATTCCAGCAGCAATGCTCGTGGTTGTACCAGAAGCCGTTCAGGCAGACCCCCTCCTTCAGGTCCGTCATCCAGTGGGCAGTGATGTCGATCAGGCCGGCCAGCGCTCCTGTGGGCAGAGAAGGCTGCCATTGAAGGGGAGGGGTTTGACCGAGTCACCCCACCCACCCCCGCTCTGTCCAGCAGCTCCGGCCCCTCACCTGCCCACAAGCCGATGAGCAGCATCAATAGCCATCCCGAGAAAGCATCACTGACGCTGTGCACCAATGCCCAGGTGGACTCCTTGCTTTTACTGGCGATCTGAGGAGGGGGGAGGCGTTTAGAGGCAGGCCCTTCACCCCCACCCACACGTGGACCCTCTGTGTCTAGGATCAGGGAGCTCCCCAGAAGGGAGGGGAGGCCACAGCCCCTCTAGATCAGGGGTCTCCAAACTTGGCAAGCTTCAAGACTTGCGGACTTCAATTCCCAGAATTCTGGGAGTTGACGTCCACAAGTCTTAAAGCTTGCTGGCTGGGGATTTCTGGGAGTTGAAGTCCACAAGTCTTAAAGCCTGCTGGCTGGGGAATTCTGGGAGTTGAAGTCCACAAGTCTTAAAACCTGCTGGCTGGGGAATTCTGGGAGTTGAAGTCCACAAGTCTTAAAGCCTGCTGGCTGGGGAATTCTGGGAGTTGAAGTCCACAATTCTTAAAGCTTACCAAGTTTGGAGACCCCTGGCCTAGGCCCAACGCAGAGCAGAGCTGCCTTCTCCTCCCTCCCTGCCCAGCACATTCCACCTGTGGGGCCTCCTAAGCACCAGGGAGAAATCCGCCTTTTTCCCAGCTGTGTCCCTTGAAAGAAAACCTTGGCCCAAAGCCCCTTGCCCTCCCCCTTTGTCAGCCCTCCCGCTGGCTCCCATCCCCGCTCAGGGGGATGTCCTACTGACCTCTCGGTGCCGGTCGCGGTCCCGAGACTTCTCCCGCACCCAGTCGATGGTGTTGAAATCTTCGTAGGTCCCCACGCCCGGGAGCGGCTCCTGCAGGAAGTCCATCACCTGCCTCGGCCCGTTCATCCCACCGCCGTTGTACGAGGAGAAACCTGCAGGGGGGGCAGGGGCCAGGAGATGCCACCTCGCTTTCCTTCCCGTCGTCTCGTCCCAGGACGGGATGCAAAGTCCCGGGAGAACAAAGGTTCCTCCGAGGAGCTGAGTTAATCTTTAAGCAGCTTCACGGGAGAAGGAGGAGGTGGGGAGGGGAGGGGGAGTAAAATGGCTGCAGAAAAGTTCTGAGCCCCCGGCTGAAGAATTTTCGTTCCTTAAAATAAGACCTGGCTAATCGACAGCCCCTCGTCCCAAAGCTGCCCACCAGATGCCAGCTTTCTGGGGGACCACAGAGGCCCCAAGACGGCCCCAGCGGGGATCCCCTGCCTCAGGATCGAACAGACACCAAGCCGTGGCTTCCAGCAGAGGCGACAGGAGCCCTGGGCCCGTGTCGGTGCAGTGTTTTCATTTCCCCTTGCCCCAAAACAAGGGCAGGAAAGTGGGATGGGGTTGGGGTTCCTTCCTTGGGGCTCCTGGGGCAGAAGACCTGTTCCCAGATCAGGTGGGATCAGGGCCCAGTCAGCTTCGCTCCGGATTCCTACACAGGATCAGAGTCAAGCTCGGCCACTGGGTTTCTGCTCCCGGTGCGCCAGGCAAGGCCTGAGAACTGACCCTCGTCCCTCGTCTTAATGTCCTCTCTCCGCTTGCTCAGAAAATTTGGGGAATCCCCAAGAGTTTGGGATCAAACCGGCGTGGCCTCCTCCGGCTCCTCTCTCAGTGCCTTTGGGGAAAGTGAGAGCACTCGCCAACACCACACCTGTGACCCGTCAAAAGCGCGGAGGACAAAATCACGCTCGACGAAAGCGTGCATGTGACGTCATCACAGCGCGACGAAAAAAA